ACTTTAAGACTTGTGGACTTCAACTCCCAGAATTCCTCAGCCAGCAAAGCTGGCTGAGGAATTCTGGGAGTTGAAGTCCACAAGTCTTAAAGTGGCCAAGGTTGGAGACCCCTGCTCTACGGGAGGCAGGAGAGCCTGCGGTCTTCAGGTGCTGCAGAATTACTGTACAATTCCCAGCAGCTAACCAACCTGATCAGTGCAGCACTATTGATCAATTCCCATAAAGTTTCCTATCATCATACATTGGTAAACCAAAAATATAAATGGGCCTTTATTAGAGCATGTTGCAATGCTCTTCCCCTCAGCAGTGGTACAGGGCAGATACCCCAGTGTTCCTTTAGCACATCATGTTTATCTGTGTGCTGGTGGTTGTGCTAAGTACTGTCCGGTTCTTCGAGACTCCATGGACCATAACACGCCAGGCTCCCGTATTTGTCATTGTTTCCCAGAGTTTTCCCAAATATTTGTGTGGTATAAAAGTTCAATCACACATGTCTTTTTCTATCATAGATGTTATTTGATAAAGCACAATAATCTTTTTTTATGATTTTTTTTTAATCAGCAATCCTAGGCCTTTCAGATGATTTCTGTGTTGATTTCCTTCTGACACGATCTTTTATGTAACATATAATGTTGAAAGGTTTTGTTACCTAGCCTCAAGCCTATAGCAGAGGGTCCAAAATGAAAAATACCTTGAAACATATACTGTCTGTTGTTTTTTGTTTTGATTTTTTGGGGTGTGTGTATTTGTTAGGAAGCTAGTGGACATAATACATTGAAGCTGAAGTATCTGAGGAATTGTTTGCTGTGATCAAGTTACAAGATTTATATATATATATTTAGCCCCTGGAGAATAGTGGATGATTGTGGTGGTGCTTTCACAATGGGAGCCATCGGTGGAGGCATCTTTCAAGCAATCAAAGGATTCAGAAATTCCCCAGTGGTGAGTTAAAATAATTTACAGAGACAAGTTTATGATTACTTTTTCTATAGTATTTAAAAACAGAGGTTTGGAAATAATGAATTCAGTGCAACTATTTTTTTTCTTTTTGAATATATAAAATTATATGTGTTATTATATTTATATATACGATGTGAAGCACATTTTTTTAAAAAATGTCTATTTTTCTGAAATCATAATCATATAATTGTGAAAGGATCCACAAGTATCATGTAATCCAACTCTATACAGTGTGCAGGAAAACCAATTAACCCACACTTGAGAAGTGGCTGCTCAGCCTCTTCTTAAAAACCTCCAGAGTTGAAGAATGTATCTTTATTTATTTATTTATTTATTTATTTATTTATTTATTATTAATCAATCAATCAATCAATCAATTAATTAATTAATTAAACAACCAAGCACATATAGCCATTCATCTACCAGAAAGAACTTTGGGCAGCAAGCAAGAATCAAAACCACAATATAATTAAAACAAAACAACTAATTAAAACAGACCTCATAAAACTTATATCCATCAGCTATGCTATCTTGCAAAGATCTGTCTCCTCTCTGCTGCAGTTAACTTTGAGGGAGAAGAGAGCAGGATGATTTCTTTTCCACCCTACCGTTCGGCTTCAAAATGCTTTTTGTGCTGAGAATGAAATGTTTTTGGGGGTGATCTTGCATGACTT